GCCATTGAAAAGTTCAATGAATCTCAAAGGATCTAGGAATTTCAAATCAAATTAAACTTAATAATCTATTTTGTGTTCATGGTGGAAATTGTTAAATCGCACTACTAGAAAAACAGCCTTTTACGATACGAAATACGTGTCGTAAAACGCTCAAACGACGCGCAAATGCGTGTCAAGGAAGGCCCTGTCATAACGAGAGACGACACTCTTTTGCGCGTCATCTATTTACGACGCGCATTTATGACACGCATTTGCGACGCGCAGTTATGACACACAATGCGTATCAAGGAAGGCCGTGTCATAAAGGAAGACAACACGCATTTGCGTGTCGTAACCTTACGACGCACGTGTTTATGACATGCAATGCGTATCAAGGAAGCCCCTGTCATAAAGGAAGAAGACACGTATTTTTGTGTGTCATAATTTTAAATGTTTTTAAAATTATATATTTTTGATAGATTTACTAATTTTTAAATTAAATAACACAATAAAAGTCTGATAATACAAAATAAAATATCATAAACAATAAAGCTAATTCATTGCACTAATATGTCAAATACAAATAATCATTACAATAGTAAGTAAATATAACATATTGCTAATATTGCATAATATTTATTATAGAAAACAAAACATGTACAACATTAAAAGAAACCCATGACTAAATTCTCCTTTGACAATTTCTTTTCTAAGAGAATAACCTGAATGCAGGAACTTTGAGAGGCTGCAGGGCATGGAAGGAGGTTGCTAGAGCTGTGAGAACCTGCACAGGGCAAATCGGTAACTTAACATGCAATACAATACAAGATGATATGATAGAGAAAATAGAAAAGTGAATACCCACCTGAAAGTTTTCACCTTCAAAAACCGGATCAAGGGTACTAAGGTCAAGCAGCCAATCAATGAATAACTTGAATACGGTCTGGGGTTGAATGTTGTACATCAATGCCCCCAAAAGCAACATTGGACCAAACCTTGGATCTTCCATAACATCATAAATTCTTCCAGGAATATTTTTAAAATCTGAAATACAACAAATGAAGTAAGGTGGTGCTAATATGTTTGTTGTTGTTAATGCTCTAAAGGTAAGTTTTTATCATGCCTATTGAAAAATAAATAAACCATACATTGTATGTTACTTGACATAGAAGCACCAGGATTACATTACAGTGAGCAATAATAACCATCAAACAATACTTAATAACATTGTCCCAAATATAAACCAAAAACAAGAATTAATATTTGTTGAAGCTTTCTCGTTTATCAACATACTAATTTCCTCAACTAGCAAAGGAGTGCAGCAACCAAATAGAATTAATTCAACACCATCATACCTTTCACTATTTTAAATACATAATATTGTATATACTTTCAAATGATATAAACATATTATTGAAAACCATGAGTACCATGAGTACCAGGTAAGCATCTACAAATAACATGTTTGTTATAAACATATTATTAAAAACCATGAGTACCAGGTAAGCATCTACAAATAAACAACTCTTATAGTTCTATCCTTACTTCTGGGGGACACTATTGCTTTCTTCATTTTCACTTGCATAAAATGTACGTATTGTGTAAATTTGTTGAATACTTAGAACCTGAAAAACTTAATATATATATATATATATATATATATATATATATATATATATATATATTATTTAACTTATTACTGTAGATTGATTAAACAAATCAAACAACAAGAGAGACAAAGAGAGACTTACAGGACATATATTAGTTGTGAGTTGATCATATGTGATTTTAGACTTCTTTTCTATAACCTGCAAAAACTCAAAAATTCATGTTTAGTTTTGATTTTTTTTTTTTGGGGGGGGGGGGGGGTTTGGATAAAGTAAATTTTGGAAAAAAGTAAATAAGCATACCAAAAATCCAACTGCCTGTCTTACACACTGAAGTTCATCCGATGCTGAGTCTGCATGCTGAGTCAATAAGTGGTTAGACCTACCAACTCACTTCAACTAATATTTAAATAAGAAAAAAATAACTAAATTAATAACAAAAGTAGATTGCTCTTTTTGGAAGCCTGAAATATTGATTTCCCCTTCCATGTATCCACCGGTTTTCCTACCAGCAAGGACATCCAATAAGGTAGTCTTACCTACTCCACTATGTTATATTTGACTTGTATTTTTTGTTTTGTTATATAAACATGATACTGACTTGTGGTTATTTGTGTTGATGGTACAAAATTAGCCAACGTAGATCCAGCGTCAATGTTGATTTACAAGAATCAAACACTTTCTTCAATGAAGAAACCAAAATTCAGAAACCTGTGAACAAAAATACCGAAACTTTAAGTGAAAATACATCAGAACCCAATTCTTCATCCCTTATTGCTCACACTCCAGAAAACGACAAAAATATGGTTATAATGGTATGTCTTTTATTCATGTATATTTGTGTATAACTTTTATATAATTATATCCATGTTCTTAAGCACTTTTTATCTACTCGTTTTAGGTAAAGCCTACATCAGAAATGAAACAACAAAAGCCAAAATTCAAGGCTCATGACTTTAATTCTGTGAAGGCTAAAACAAAGGAAATTAAAATTTTACACATGAAGGAAAAAGAAAAGAAGGCACCTCAACCTGCTACTCCCATTGCACATTCTGTGAGAAAAACTATAAAATCAGAAGTGAGTGTTAACATTTAACATTTTCTTTTACTATATTTATCACTTTCTCTTTTTTTCTTTTGACATAAAACTATTAAAATCACATGGATGAATCATGAATATCTTATGTTAGGAATCAAGTATGAGTTTTGTGAAGGCAAAAGTATTCCTCTAAATAAAAGGTATCATCTTTTTGGCATTTTACTTTAAATAATTTGTTTTCTTGTGGTTATACAAGTTGTGTCATTTACTCATTTCATATATATTGTAATATTTGCAGCATTGTGAAAGAATATAAATCTTTAAAACCAATGGAAACCAAGTCTTTAATGTTGGAGAAGAAATCTGCCAACAGGTTTGGAATATATAATTCCATAGGATTTGGAATTGGATTCCATTCCAATCTTTTTTTTTAAACTTTTTCTTTACATTTATAGGATTAAACAAACTACAATGACATCAACTGTCAATAAGGACTCTAGAGGTTTCACTTTTAGGAGCGGTCAACGAGCAGAAAAAAGGAAAGAGGCAAGAAAAGACAAGTGTCTGTTGTGCTTTTTTTTCTTGATCAGTATGGTAAGCCCCTTGCCTACAACATGCCGGCACAGCAGCAGGGACCCTATGGTCAGCCTTACGGACCACCTCTGCCTCGTTAGCAGCAGCATCAGCCTTACCCTATGTCAATTGGGCCCACCTAACAACCTTACCCTCAGTATGGTACTACTGCCCCTGCTCCTGTTAATAATGATGGGTATACTCACCCTGGTGGTTACGCTCCTCCTCCGCCGGCTTCTGGGTATGGACAGCAGGTGGCACCTGGTTATGCTCCTCCATTACACCATTACCACAACAATGAAAACATTAAAGAATTAAAGAATTAAAGAATTAAATAATTAATTCTTACCAAAATCAAGAATAGCTAGGGTATAATGTTCCATTTTCACCCTCATTAATATAGTCAAGCTCCTCAAAGAAACGTGCAACCCATTCATCAACTAACCCAACAACATATGAAGAAAGGGTATAATGGTCATACATGAGAACATAGTAAGAGCTATATACAGAGAAAGGGTAAAATGATCAGACAAGATGAAAAGGTAAAAAGGAGCGTCTGAATAGTTAACCATTAAGAGGAGCTCTATTAACTATTAAGTGAAAAAGAAATAAGAAACAGGCAGTAAGATTATATATATATATATATATATATATATATATATATATATATATATATATATATATATATATATACCTTGATTAGGTTCATAAAAGCTTTCGATTAGAGAAACAAATGTGCTTTTACCAGACCCACTACCACCAACCACCGCAACTGTCTTTCCAGCCGGGAAGAAAATGGAAAACTCTTTAAATATAAGAACATCCGGCCTTGAAGGGTAACTAAAAGACACCTCCTTAAATTCAATATTCCCGTTGACCTCGGTCAAACATTTCCCATTTGTAGAGTCTTGAACTATAGTCGGATTTTGCTTAATAATTTCCAATAATTTATATCCAGCAGCTATCCCTTTGCTGAATGCTCCAAGATTCGAAAACGAATGACCCAAACTCCTGTTATGATTATTTTAATTAAATTTGTGAAGAAACAGAATTACTATTAATATTATTAAAAAAAAGAAAAGCTTACATGCCACCAACAATGGCGGAGAAGATTGCTGTAAATGATTTTCCACCATCTGTCTGCCAATTCCTAATAAATACACCCGCATACCAAAACACAAGCGCCCATGACATGCATGCGATTCCATATGTGCATCCCAATCCCAATCCTTTTGCCATTCCTGCTTTGTATCCCAATTTGAGAGTGTGTTGTATTGCATCTGAATATGAATCGAGTGCTTTGGTTTCTCCCACATATGAATACACTGTCCTTACTTGTGCAATAGCCTATTAATTAATAACAATATATAGTCGATTAATATATGATCATATAAAGGAAGTGATTAATTTATTAAGATTTAAGGTTTAAGATTAGCAGATTACCTGTTCAGCGATGATGCCAACATTGGCATAGGATTCACGACTTTTTGAAGTGAGACCTGTAAGAGTATAAGCGTATAATACACCTGCAAATGTGATTCCGGGAATGACTGCGACACTTAGAATAGCTAGCTTCCATGCGGAAACGAAACCAACCACCAATTCCTAATCTTAGTATTTTGATACAACCAATTTCAGGCATTTTGAATAGCTTTGATTTGAATTACACAGTGGTATTCTCACAGAGGCAAATGATCGAACACCTGGTGTGCACAGGAAAATAACAGCAGATACCGTAAAGATGAAGATGAAACAAAAGTCAGGAGTGAAGATGAAAATCGACAAATTAACAAAAAAAACATACAAATTAACCGATTTAACTCACAGATTCAAAAACCGAACAAAATCCAACAACGTGCTTTGATCTCCTTTGTAAATGACCAAGTTTTAAAAGTGTTGATGGAAGACATCGTTTATCTTATCGGAGTTGAGTCGATGAAGACATCGTTTTTCTTATCGGCTGAGGTATAAAAGTGTTGATGGAAGAAGGTCGATTGTAAGGACGTGGAGGGAAGGAGGAGATATTCCCAAGTTCGATTCGGTATTCCCTGTGTTGTTTCATCAGACGCAACCTTGTTGATGTCGATTTCATCAGATGCACTCCGAACTCTTAGAGATGATGGGGTTCGATGCTGGTGGTGGCGGTTAGGGCTTCCAAAGGGAAGGGATAGAGAGTGCAGAGGTAGAGGAAGACGGCTGCTTCAAAAGGATTGACAGCCTCACAATTCTATTAGGGTTCACTGGTAGAGGATTGTAGAAGGAGAAGAAGGAGATACATAGCTGGGTGTTTAATTTTTTGGGATTTCATTTCCCCCCATAGGCTATTAAAAAAAATGGAGAACGCGCGCGCCTTCCTAAAAAAATAAAAAACGACACCTTTAGAGGACACGCTTTTTTCGTTAGGTGCCCTCCGTGTTTTTAATTTTTTTTCTTGAGACACTAATTTAAGGGCACGCAAAAATGCGTGCCCTCTATCCTTCAATTTTTGGAAAACTGACATTATTTTTAAGGACGCACAAAAATGAGTATCGTAAATCTGCGAGTGTCATTGTTTGCGCGTCATTAAAGGGTATTTTTCTTGTAGTGTCGTCATTTACCTACCTTCAAATATTTTACAATTGGATTACGGCATCCCTCTTCGCAATTGTAAAATATTGTGTTGGGTCCTAGCCTTAATATTTCATTTTGGGTGTTATATTAAGGACTTAAATCAACTAACTTGAATTTCTCCCTTTATAGATGTCTAGGTTAGACAACTATGGTCTTCCCAAATCTGTTGGAAAAGGCTTTCCACATGAAGATGATATTTCACAATATCATACTTCACTTCCTCCACCTCGTCCAATTATTCTCCCTAATCCACAAGTTCGAAGACTGGAAAGGTTCAAGGTCACTCAAGCCCTATTGGCAAGAAATCATAAGGATGGAAATTATGTATGTGCTTACATATTGACAAGCCGAGAGAGTTGGGTGTCAAAGTCTCGAGGAAGTTGGCTGTTGACTGAGTTTTTCAGTAACTTCCTGAATCATATAGTAGGTTCATTAAGGACTACTATATGACAGACCACGACAGACCCTTATTGATCTAACATACTTGCTTGTTGCTGCTGAATCAGAAATGATTTGGCGCACTGGTAAAGCAAATTTGATTAGAAGATCTACTTCCCAAGTTTCCATGGACACCAGTGACAATCCAAAAATGATTTCTTCTCCTAGGAGAAAAGAAATAGGCTAATGTCAAAAAAAGGTTTGGACTTAAGAGAAAAGCCGGTTCTGGAATTGTGTCATGTGCCAATGTGAGAGAAGCCATTTGTTCCTACTGCTATTTAAAGGAACATTGGAAGCGAAGCTGCTCTGACTACCTGAGAGATCTAAGAGATGGTAGAGTCAAAATGTTTGACTCTACTCCAGGTAAGTTCACTGTCTAACTCTATTAAGTTCCTAATGGTTGATTCTTAATACATGATGTGATAAGATTGCATTTTGGTGTTTTGTAGAATCAAAGGAAGCTTAAAGGAAGAGTATGTTGAGTCTGATCGCGAAGAGATGGATTTCCATTGCATGGTTTGATGATCAGATGTGTGAACTGCTGCTTAAAGAGTTATGATAGATTGCTAGGAATAGATAACAACATTGTTTTCACTTGTATTTGCATTGTAAGGATAAGTTTTCCGCAGTTTTATAAATAAAGAAAAAAACTTTTTTTATCTTATTTTATAAAGTATCCTTACAATGGCATTTGTGAAAAATTGTTGCTTATGTGTTTCCATTGATAGCAATATTGGAAAGTGGATTTGATTCTTTCGTTTGTGGTAGTGTCAAATTTACCAAATAAGGAAAGATTCTCATCACCCAAGTTTCAATTGGATAGAAACTTGGAATCATGCAACTTGTATTGTATGATGAATGAGAATTTTCATCTTTGGGAAATTAAGACTAATTCCTTGTTCACATGTATATGTGAGTCAAGTGAAGGACTAGGGGATCAGGTACACTTGGTTGTGCATTGGTCAGGTCCACCACAATAAAACTATTTGTCATGATTTACTAAAGTTTAGTGAATATTGTTATGCTTACAAGTTTAAGTATAATTCTGAATCATTGAAAAATTTTCAATGTATAGCAGTACGAATAAGAAGAATCAAATTAGGCAGAAAGATGAAAGTTTCTTCAATCTGAAAAGATAGGAGAGTACTTTAGTATCATGTTTTATGATTATCTTAATGATTATGGAAAACCATATCATAATTGATACTCTAAGGACATCTTAGTGCATTTGTATGGCTAAGAAGAGGAATCGTGAATTGTTGGAATGGTTAAATCAAATAGATGAATCATACTTCATTCCAAAATCAAATCTTAGAGTTGTACTCCAAGATTGTAATTTGAGTGACATAATCTTAAGAAAGGTTTATAACACTTATCAAATGTAGAGTAAAATGTTTCTTACTATTGTACATTTGAAATTGGTAAGATGTGATGTTTTGGATAAAACAAAGACAAGCTAAAACCAATTGTTAGAAGTGTTAGTCTTGATAAGAAACCGCACCAACTCTTGAATATTTGTTTGTCAAGTAGTGTTCCTTGACAAAATGAATCTTATATGTCAAGAGTTCAGTGGGAGTCATTAAATTTTTGAATAGTTTCAAGTACAAATCAAGAATAAAATTGTTAGTTAACACTAGCACACGACTTGAGGTTTATAACCTATCGTGTTGACATATTCTTGTTTCTGTGCCCATTCCAATCAAAGTTGAATATGAAGGAGAGTTCTATGAGTTCTCATTTGTTTGCATAAGGCAAAGCACCTTAATCAATGGAAGTTACATTGATCTGTAAGGGTGAGATGCTAAAAAACTTGGAAGACATGGTAGGCCCTTGTGCTACTAGATGGCAAGAAACTAAGATTAAACAAGTTCAGTCCATATGAGTTTGGATTTGTCATAAACCTTATCTTGGGATAATGGTTGAAAATGACATATTTATATGGATAGGAACACATACACCATTAAATCTAAGTGTGATAAGGTTTCTCTCCAATTCATGAAAATGATTGTGAGGAAACGCTTTCACTAAGTAGATTTTAAAGGATTAGAGTTAGCAATTGTGATAGTTGCATTCTCAAATTTGTTTATGATTACGGAATCCCTTTTCATAGTTCGAATTATGAGAAATGGCAAATAGTTAGAACATTCGGGACTTATTAGGTTAAATTCTGAAGAGTTCAAACACGCACTTGTGCTATTTAATCTAAAAGGTGTATGGGCTTGAGAAGTCTGCTATAGACTTATCAAAGCACCGAGTATCAAAAATCTGAACTTTGGTAAGAAAGTCAATAAGTATTGATTTCTAGAAGTCCAGCTGATTTCTGGATACATGTCAAAGCTAGTGGGAGCATAAGTGTTATGCTGGTAAAGATATAATTATTATGTAAGTAGGAGCATGATTATTATGGTAAGTGTTGCAAGTTAGCAATGTTAATTATAGAAAACATAAGTTTCTATTTGCAAAGATGCAGGGTTTGAAAAGTTGTTTTGCTATAATTAAGGGAGAGGAAATTATACTTCATTCCAATTCTAAAAGCTTAGATTGAGATTTTATTCAAATTTAGTCAAGTATATATATGAATGTTATGTTGGAATGGTTCAACATAAGGAAATTCTATATATGGAAATGTTAATTGCGTTCTCAAATTCGATTATGATTACGACATCCCTCTTCATAGTTCGAATTGTGAGAACATGGCAAATAGAAACATTATAACAAAAGACTGGTCAAGGATCATGTCTTTATGTGAGACATTATGAATCGTATCCCATATGCTTCGGGTATAGGATCGATTGCATATGCTATAATATTTATATGTTCTGAATTTTCCAAATGCCTAGACATTTAGAAGGAAAGAGGAGCAGAACTAGATATGACTAAAATGGTTAAGTAATTGTAGAGGACAATCTGAGGTTTACCAAAGATTGGTTGCTTATGGACAGTTGGAAGTATAAGTTTTGGAAGGTCCATATTGACAGGTTCTGAGAAAGAGGTAACTCTTGTTCAGAACTGCTAGTCATATGGAATTATGGAAATGTTCCATAAGTGGAAGTTAATCGTAAAATCTGTGTAAGATTACAAAACCTTAATGCAAGAAGGATGTTCAAAGGAATGTACTTTGAATATGAGACTTCGCTTCCATCGAATACTTTGTAAAGTTACTGGCATACTTTTGTGACTATGTGCATTGACATTACGAAAGGATTATTGCATTTAAGTTTAGAATTAAACAGATTATAGTAAAAGGCAATAATTTGGGATTCTTACACTTACTATGGGGATTTGGAATTGTGAAATGAGCATCATTGAAATGTTTTCAATTGATCTATTTCAAAAAGAAAGGATCATAGATAAAAATAGTGTGTATGCTTGGAGCATGGGATAACTATTGTTTTAATTCAAGTATAAAGTTGATAATTCGAAACATTGTACAATGAAAATGAGTAATCAATATGGCGATTAAATAAAAGGTGTTTTATTTACACTCAATAGTTTTGGGGCCATAGAGGATTAAGTATTATTCTTGTGTTTCACTTTTCATGTTTTGACTTCCCGAATAATAAGATTGTTCAAATTATCCACAGTTGATCATAATTTGGAAGTAGGTATGAAGCAAGACTGTCATGAGTTGGATTGTAGATGTCTAAGGTGTTAGACATAGCAAAAGTCTGCTACACCATTCATGAGTGCTTGTGAAATAAGATGTAAGCATTGGATGAACCCGTACTTACCTGAATCACTTCATGGAATTTAT